AGCACAGTGCTAAGCAATCGAGTGAACCCCCTCTCTGCCCTATTCTTTGGTGAAGTCCAATTTGAATACAAATGCAATACTTAAACCTGGCGCGAACGGGTTTTAGTGCCTTCTCAGCAGGCGAGAAGGAGACACGGGGGGAGAGGATGAAAATTGAACTTGAGAATTAAAACGCCATTTACGAGCGTCTGCGAAGGTTGGGACGCCCCTCGGAAGTAAGAGGGAAAAAATAGTAAATAAATAAAAGTAATAATAATTCGGCTTATGCCGGTAAGCTTTCTGGAGACCCGAAAGGAAATCTGGCAATTATGTTTGGTGTGTAATCCCGAATACAACCAAGTTGGAGCTTTTCTATGTCGTCGACATTGGGGTGGCTTTGGAAGGGAACAGAAGAAGAAATTTTAAAAAAGAAGAAATTTAGGAAGAGTGAAAGCAGAGAAAGTATGACATAGAGAAAGGCAAAAGGAAAGAAACAAAGAAACATAAAAGAAACAAACAAACAAACAAACAAACAAAGAAGAAAACGAGGAAACAAAGAAAGAAAGAAGGTATGAAAGGGAGGGCAGAAGAATGAAAGAAAGAAGGTAAGAAGAAAGGAAGGAAGGAAGGAGGGAAGGAAGGAAGGAAGGAAGGAAGGAAGGAAGGAAAGAAAGAAAGAAAGAAGGTAAGAAAGAAAGGAAGGGATGACGGGCGGGGAGAATGAAAGAAAGAAAGAAACAAACAAATAAACAAACGAAAGGTGAAAAAAAAACCTCAACTAATTCGGCAAGTCTCGGTTATTTGCGGGGCGCCGAGTGGTGGAGATCCTGTGGTTTCGTCACTGGCGTCATCGCGTATGCAGCCAGGCTGGGGCCTGTCAGTGCCGGTGTTTTACGAGGACCCACGGGAAGGATCGGATGTACCCGAGTGCACCGGCCGACTGGTTCCGACTGTCTGATTTGCATCCCGACGATGGGGAGATCTTCCGGGGGGTGCTGTCGAATTCTAAACGTTGCCCGATTGATTTGTACAGCAACTGTCACCACTTGGGACACGGTGTTGGGAATATCCTGTAACTTTCCTCAGGGAGATGGGTGGGTGTGTTTGTGTTTATGTGGTGTGTGTGTGTGTGTGTGTGTGGATGTGTGCTTGTGTGTGTGTGTGTGTGTGTGTGAATGTGTGTGTGTGTTTGTTTATTTGTTTAAGTGTGAGTGTGAGTGTGTGTGTGTGTGTGTGTGTGTGTGTGTATGTGTCTGTGTGTGGGTTTTTCTTTCTTTCTTTGTAATGTAGGTGTTTTGCTGCACCATCGACACTGTTTGGATCGTTTTGAAGTCGGACTTTAGCCCTGCCAAAAGAGAGAGAGAGAGAGAGAGAGAGAGAGAGAGAGAGAGAGAGAGAGAGAGAAAGGATAGAGAGACAGAGACAGAGATATACAAAGAGACAGAAAGACAAAGGGAGGGAGAGGAGTGTCAAGAGATCTGCATGCAAAAATTTATTCACATGTGGTTCTGATTTCCTGCTGGCTTAGCTGAATTATACATGTTATGTAGTACAATCTACTGTGTCTTATGTTGATGCGTTACTCGTCGAGAAAAATAAATGCACCTAAAAAAAATAATATAAAAAACCCACTGACATCCGTTTGCGTCGCTGCGAGAATTGGCGCGGACATCTGTTTGGTCAGCAGATAGCATCGCCATGCATGCTCATCCGCGTTGACCCCTTGACCCCTCTGCTTACCTGGCGCGGGCACACGGTTTCTGATACAACAGTAATTGCAGACAGGCATGTAACCCATAACAGTCGCGTCGGTGCTGCGTGTTTACTATATTTACACGTCTGGCTGGCTCACCGCGCCGTGAACACGAGAGTTGTGGTGATAGCTTACTCTTTTAAGTTGGTGCCCGGAGGAATTTTTGTAACCAGATTAAATAAACACACGATAATAATATGTTGCTCTAAGAGCTGGTTTGCTCAGAGTAAATCGGACGGCCGCATCATTTTACGAACTGATTCAAACCTCATCGAGGTGATGCGTGATTGTTCAGATGCTTATCTTAGACAGGTGGTCGTTTTATATATATATATGTGTGTGTGTGTGTGTGTGTGTGTGTGTGTGTGTGTGTGTGTGTGTGTGTGTGTGTGTGTGTGTGTATCTTGTACGTTTCATGAGTGCTGGCCCATGCAAAGCAACTGTTTGACTGATAATACTATATTATGCTGAAAAAATAATATAATTTCTTGTGATTTTGTAAATGCTTTACTCGGAACTGATGCAAAAGATGACTGTCGCATTAAACAACTGTCGCAATGAATACTGTAATGCCTGAATTCATTCCGTCTTGTTGCGAAAGGACTGCACAACAAGGAGCAGTGCTACAGGTTCGCTTAGATTCAGGGTTTATATCGTATGGTTGCCTGGTCTTTTCATTCTTTCTTGCCTCTAATCTGAACTATTACTATTAATAGATAAGTATTTACAGAGGCACCTGCTTTCCTTGTCGAAGTGCTGTTTTAACCATTTTTCTCTAACCAACAACAAATGTCAGGCGTTTTTGTTTGCGCCCAGATCTCAAGGGCACACAATCCAACATGTTTAATCTACTACCGTAAAAGAAGTGTATTTCCACGATATAACTTTGTCCGGGTGGCATCGATTTCAGGTTGTTTAGTGTGAGAAAAAGGCCTGGATGGTGGCTAAAGGAGGGTTCCCTTACGGGATTGACCCCCTGCGGCGACAGAGCAGGGCAGGGTTTAAGTGAGTTATAGCAGTGCTTTGCACCTTGGGCCTTGGATTAATCAGTCGTGTTGATCCCAAGTAAGTCAAGAAAGGTGCAGTTTTGACCTGGTCAATGATTTACGGTTGTCATGTAGTAGTGTTTTACGAGGTAGAACATTTTAGAAGGAAAAGAGAGACAGAGAGTCAGAGACAGAGACAGAGATAGTAGAGACAGAGAAGAGAGAATGAGAGAGGGAGTGAGAAAGAGAAAGAAGAGAAGAGAGATGGAGAGAGAGAGGGAGAGAGAGTGAGAGGGAGAAGAGAAGAGTAGAGAGAAAGAGAGTATGTGTGAGAGAGAATGATGAAGTGAAAGAGAAATGAAGAAAAAGGGATTGGTGAAAGCAGAGCGACAGAAAGAGCAAGGAGGGATTGGGATTCACATAAATATATCTTTGCGTTAAGTCGTGCCAGATAAATGCACGCAGATGTGCAGTCTTAAACGCTCATTCACATTGGCACAGATGTTGAAGCACAAAGCAAAGCAGTCCTAAAAGGGAACACAAATAAATAAACATGAAATAAGGGAAAACGAAAGAGAAAAAAGAACGAACACAAGAGAGAAGAGTGAGTTATAGCAGTGCTTTTCACCTTGGGCCTTGGATTAATCAGTCGTGTTGATCCCAAGTAAGTCAAGAGAGGGGCATGGTAATTACTACTCCCTCCGAAAACAAAATCCATAAAAACCCTAAGAAAACAAAACAAAAGAACAACATGAAAGTAAAAAAGAACAGAAAGAAAAGTAATATAAAAACCTACACTAAATAAAACCCAAAACAAAGCAACAACAACAACAACAACAACAACAACAACAACAACAACAACAACAACAACAACAACAACAACTACAACAACAACGACAAAATGAACAAGACCACAGTCCCTACGAACTTTGCCTCCTTTATTCCGACAGTACAAGTCTTATGCAGCCCGTCAGACAATATTTTTATTACCTCATAGAATACATATTGCTTTGCAGGTTACCTTTCTCTTGGCGCTAGTATTATTATCCTATTATGGCCCCCTTGACACAAAGTTAGAATAATAATCTAGTTATGTCCCTGTTTGAGCAGCATACAGGAAACCAAGCCCGTAGAATAATTTATAATGTTTCTCCGTTGTTTCCAATAACAATTAAAAAGAGTTCATTAATATTCAGGAGCGCTGCGTCGCGCCGTCTTCCAGGAATGCAAATTCTGATAAACGAAACCTTTTGGCTTCAGGCACTCACTTGAGAAAAACGTAAGCCTGAAGGTTGGTTATTATTATTTCACTGCTCTCAACATTTTAGGATGATTTCGTAGAGCAAAGTTGTGTGTTGTTCATCGCGTTTTTTCTTTCTTTTTTTCTTTTTTCTTTTATTCTAGTTTGAACTGTTTTTGATATGTCGGTTTTATTCGCATTGTCTGTCGTGGAGAGGGCACTTTGTTTCCTATTCAGAATCATTGTGTATTCTCTGCAGCATGAAGCACATGCGTATTTCATTTTCATTTTCTTGTAATTTTGTTCTGCATTCCGATCTTTATGGATGCTAATGACTCTTGTTATAAAGTCCTTTATAAACTAACCGTTTTATGCCTCGGTGGCCATTTCGAAGGCTTCGTGCAACGGAGCAATAATTCCTTCGGTTGAACAGGGAGTTCCAGTTTCCAAAGATTTTATCCTATGGAGGATATTTATTATAACGCTCTGTCGCAACCGGTTATTCGCATGCAAGCCAATTCACCTCAACGTGCCGCAATGACTTGGCTTACAAACTAAATTATTCTTTCGAAGACAAAATAGTTTCTACTATATTCATGATTGTTTCCCGAATTATGATTATTTTTCTTTTCTGTTTTGTTCTCGATTATAAATTTGTGAAAACGAATCGTATTTGTTAGTATCAATTTTTTCTAATTTGACTTTTACAAAAATCTCACTGACAAACAACCGAGGCTCTGGTTGCTATTAACTTGATCGGATTGCGGGCGATTGTGATTTAAATCCGATCGTACTCTGAACTGTCTTTCTCCTCCCACTTCTTGTTTCCTTCTCAGTTTTGTATCTCGACGGGGAGGTAATTGCTCACCGTTTGAAGCAAGCTTCAGTGACCTAAGAAGGGCATTATATGGGAGTGACAAAGACGAGCAAAAGCTATGATTACATTTTTGTGATTAAAAGAAGAAACACTGGAAATTTCAGTATATCCTTTTTCACTGGTTTCCTCGCTGGGCGCACAGGTAGCTCAGTTGGCATCCTGCGGGACAACGGAGCGGTTGGCCCTGGTTCGTATCTCTAACGGGGGTGTTCTGAACTCAAGTTGCTGTGGAAAGTTTCTAAGGCTCTCCACCCATTTTGTTCGGTCATATCGGAGTTGAATATTAAATTGGAGGTCCTGCCTCCTAATTAATCTCACAGTATTGAAAGGGTAAGATATATATTATGATGTACAATAGCCAAAGGTATTCCTTTGTTTGACTCAAATTAGCATCTTTGTTTTTCTAAATACAGATCATAGTAGCATGTATTTGTTCTTTATCTGACGATATTTGTTTTTTGTTCTGTTTTCCAGAGACTGGCAGCTGATGATACCCTCGATGTCACGTGGTTTCTGGTTGGTTCTTCTGATCATTCACTCAAAAACGTCTTCACGCTGTTGAACAAACAGACTCTTCCAAGAGGAGGCGAATTTGTAAAAACACCTGTCGCTCGTTCAGAAGGAATCACACCCTTAGCCCCCCAAGGATATCCCAACTAGTTTGTCCAACAAGAGTGTGAGCACTGCGTCTACCTGTCACCGTGGTACTCTATCAGAGACTGAATGTCAAGGCGAGACAGGCCGTGAGCGAAGACGACAACGACAACGACGAGAGAAAGAAAGAAGCCGCCCGGCAGTCGAGAAGAACGCCGACGTTTTTACCCACGACGAAGAATCTCGTTCCGACGGCTGGACACCGACGCGTCGTGTGCTCACCTTGCCGAGCGGTACAGTCGTCTTTGACTTTTGCCCTCGGCGGACCGAGTAGTGTGGCGTGCGGGCGGCCCTCGTCATGCTGTGATGCGCCTCGGCGGAGGATGAAGCTAGTGTTGGTCGTCATGACGGGCATCGGATTCACTCTCGGCGTCGTCTTCGGACTTCTGCTCCAGCTGCCAATCGATACGTCACTTCCGGCGGATCCACTCCTTCCGGGGTATCCCGACAGCCACTTCCGGTTCCGTTCGAGACGGAGCCTGAGCGACGGCGACGTCGTCTCTCCTGGTGTCGGAGGCGGCAGCGGTAAGTTGTCGGAGTCGCTGTCTCGAAAAGGAGAGCGTTTCGTGAAAAACGCTCAAAATGACGTAATAGTTCCTCGCAACGGGGAGACTTTAGATGGCGCCACCGGTGTTGATGGTGCGTCTGCGAATCGGAATGATTTAGAGACGCGCCGGGTTGCGCAAAGTGCGCACGGTGGAGTTATACCCCCTGGTGATGTTGGGGAGACAGCCTCGTCAGAATCAATCAAGGGGAACGGCGGCAGCCGGCTCGGGACAAAGCCAAAGCTATTGGCTAACTCCGAGCCTGGGGATAATCCGATAATCGGGTGGCCTGTAGGCGGGCGGAGGCCAAACAATGGCCAGATTCATGTCCCCCGCGAAGGTTTACAACGGTCAGCGAAAGAAAACAGGGGGTCGGCCGCAGCCACTGGACCGGAGACGGCGGTTCGGTCAGACCAAGCGCAGACTTCTCGCCACCCGAGTAAAGTTTTGGGGACGGGGGGTGAGGAAAGTCTCAACCGAGGCGACGCGACACGCCAGAGCGCGCAGGCTGGAGATCGAGGTAAAAATAGCGCTTTGAGAATGACGATTAATCTCCGGAAAGATATTGTAGGCAGCGACACCGCCACAAACAACGACAGACGTGCAGAGGGTCGTAATAACACCCTTGATACCTCTAAAGTGGCATTCCAGAAAAACTCTGAAGAGGATTTGGCGTACTTGTCCACGCTGGTCAGTGGCGTGACGTGGAGACCTCAGCTGGAGAGTTCTTGTCCCCGCCCCTTCTCCCTGAGCGAGGTGGAGCAGTGGAGGAGGAGGGTGGACTCTCTGGACGTTGTCAAAATGGAGGAGGGATGCGGTCGGATGCAAAACCGACTTCTGACCCTCCGAGACGCGTCCAAAGCCTGCGCGCGTTATCGCCTGAACACGGATCAAATCCAGGGCGAGATCTTTTCTTATTACCTAGCCCGACTCCTGAATATCTCTAACATTCCACCTACCCTTCTAGTCCGAGTCGACGCACTGTCCCCCAAGTGGCGGACGGTGCACTTAGACATGTCTTTAGCCCAGTGGGCAGACAACAAGCTCGTGGTGCTTACCCAGTTCATTCCAGACCTCACCCCAGCACACATCCCAGGCGAGTTCCGAGAGGAAGATCATCGCCTCGAACCCACGGTCGCCCACCTCGGCGGCAAATCTAAGGACGAGCTGTGCGAGCTCGTGCAGTGGTCTGACCTTATCGTACTAGACTACCTAACAGCTAATCTAGACCGAGTCATAAACAACATGTTCAACCGTCAGTGGAACGACCAGATGATGAACAACCCGGCTCACAATCTGGAGAAGTTCAGCGACGGCCGGCTCGTGTTTCTGGACAACGAGTCGGGCCTTTTCCACGGCTACCGGCTGTTGGACAAGTATTTCAGGTACCACAAGTCGCTGTTACACTCTCTATGCGTGTTCCGACCGGGTACCGTGCAAGCTGTGAAAAGACTCCACGCCTCGGAGAGTATAGGAAGCGAACTGCACGCGCTTTTCTCGGAAAACGAGGCTCTGCACGAGCACCTCGCCGGGGTCCCGGATAAAAACGTGAAGATTCTCAAGCAGAGATTGGACGACGTGTACCAGCAAATAGTCACATGTGAGCGAAACTTCAACAGATAGTATTTGCTAAGCACCCCACTGGTATGTTGACGTTATCATGGTAAATGTTATTGTTTGCCCTAACAATCCACTCCGTAATTTTATTATTATGATAAGTCGTAATATGATGACATATTGTATGTGTATGTAACGATATATGTGCATTTTGCCTGCTAGCCGTCTGCTCTGTCTCTTTATGTATGCATTAGTGACATACCAAAAGTTGGAATTAAGTGCGTGATAAAGTTAGTGTACAAAAAGTGTTGTGGATGAATAATATTATACTATCCTTGTGAGAATGTGAGAGCGACACAGAAACGCACAGAAACGACACAGAAACGACGCAGAAAGTAAAACTGTGGAAAGGGGACGAGGAAGAGGAATACATTCCTGAAAGTATGTATTTGTGTGTGCATTTGTGTGTATGTATGTGTGTGCGTGCGTGTGTGTGTGTGTGTGTGTGTGTGTG